AAATTTTTTTTTTGAAATTTTCAAATTTTGACCCGGCCGGGTTATGAAAACCATTTAATTAATTTTGCATGGCTTTAGGTATAAATTTCACAAATCTATTTCATATCTATTTCATATGTGAGCTAGAGGCCTGCAAATTCCTAATTTTAAGGCCCAGGCCTGGGCCGCAATTAGGGTTACAAATTTTTTGCTGGTCTGGGCCCACTCGCAGTTAAAAATTTTTTGTCAAGCCTGGGCCGTTTCGGCCTAGCCTACAAATTTTTAATATAAATTTTTTCAAAATTTCGGCCTGGCCCGGCTGCAATTATAAAAATTTTTTTTAGGCCCACCTAGGCCCACATACCGGGCTGGGCAGGCTCGGGCCGGACTAGGCTTTGGAACCCAATGCAGGCCTCTAGCATGAGTTAACTTTAACACTAGGCTAACATGTTACTTCTAATTTACAAGTATTGACTCACCTGGCTCTTTGTGATGAAAGTCTTATACAACAAAAATCCAAATTACCTATGTGCGATCTGCTATAGTAAAAATTTTCTCTCAATATTAAACTCTTTTGCAAATGAAGAAATCTAATATATCACTAAGCAGCATTTATGGCCATTAAGATTGCCACCTCCTTTTAAACTCTAAATCTTCTCCTTCTAACTTCCCAAGTAGAAAGAAAAACTTCTAACTATTTAATGAAAAAACTTCAAGATTAAAAAAAAAAAGGGAAGTTTAAAACCAAAAAGGGGAAATACCAAAGCGAATACCACAAAAAAAACTATATAAAAACTCTATAAAGAAAGAAAAAAAAAAAACAGAATAAAAAAAGAAAAAACAAAAATGGCAAGAGCACTATTATAACCCATGCCAGGTTAAAAAAATATTATACATGTGATTTCGGGATAACATATATCTCACATAATACTAATAAAAGTACACTAAAAAAAGACCGAGAACCCTTTCACGTATTAAATCCAATAATAGAAATCACTACACGCTTTGCACATGTTTGTTGTTTCTCTAATTTGCCACAATGCAACAGCAACTTCTAAAAATGGAAGTGGTAAACAATGTCGATTGTTTGGAGGGAGGTAGCTCAAATTCCTAGTTTTTTCGAAAAAGTTTGTAAAAAAAACGACAATGAGTAGGAAATAGATGCAAGAAAGCCAAATTTTGAAAGAGTGTGTTGAAAAAAAAGGTAAAGAATCTGTTGTATCTCTGGACTCCAAAAATGAACTTTGTAATTTCGTCAACAAATACTTTCTTTTGGTTTACCAAAATTTATACACAAAAAGAGTGCCACCTGCCTTTTCCTCCTTCATATGTTTGCTTCTGGCTTGCATGCCAAATATAAAGAGAAGTCTCTATAGTAACTTAGTTGATCTTTTCTAAAAACTACTACTAAAGTTCTCTCAGAGCTGTAGTCTATATAGCTTTATCGACAGAGCTTTTGTTGTCCACCAAAATTTTTACTAGCCAAGAGCGCCACCTGCATTTTCCTCTTAACAAGACTTCTGGCTTGCATGCCAAATGAGGCAAGGAGTCTCCAAAGCAAAGTTGACCTATATTTGAACCTCAAACCACTACTATAGTCTACTCAACTCTCTAACAGATTTTTTTTTAGTTTTTTTTGTTAGCATAAAATTTGGTTTGGGTGATCGACAGAAAGAGTTGATAATATCTTTTTTTTGTTATGCTACCCTTTTTCCTCATACTTAACTATTTCTTTTTGTTATATATTTCTTGTTTTATTTTTTTTTATTCAGTTGTAACTTAATAGTCTTACTATTAAAGCTAGGTAGAAAAGATTTTAAAGAAATAAGATAGTTTTAATAAGCTATAGATCTCAGGCTATTAAAGTGTATTTTTTTTAAAAATATAATTCAGAGAAGTATAAAGGCTAAATTTACCTTGGCAGATCACAAATAGGTACCTTTGGTAATTAAACAAGTTGTATTTTAATTATGAGGTATATATACTAGAAAATAGTTAGCATTTGTAGATATAACAATTTTCTCTTAATAAAATATAACAAAACCTATATAAATATAAAAAAAAAAAAAACCACAAGTTGTTAATTGATAATATAGTTTTTTATAATAAAAAGTACTTTAAAAAATTTTTTTTATATTATATAACTTAGAAATCTTCAAGCCAATCAAATTAAATATCCACTATGCTTCTAACTACTATTAAAATCTTTACAACTTTATTTAAAACTCTTTACTTAATAGAACTTCTTTAAAATTATTTTAACCAATTATATTATTGAATAAAGTATTTAAAGAATATAGTAAAAAAATCAAGTAACTTTAAAAAAAAATTCCCATTCCTCTACTTAAAATTAAAAACTAAAACTTTAAACAAAAATTATTAAATACTAAAAATATATATTTAAAATTTAAAGAAAGATTTATATGTATATTTTTAAATAAATTTAATTTAAGTGATTTTTTTGCAAAAATTTACATATAAAATTGGGTGTGTCAACTTATTTGATTTATAAGTAACAACATTGTTATAAGTCAAAAAAAAGGTTTGGGTCGCGGCATCAGCAAATCATTAAAAAAGGGATGAACTAAAGCACGTTTAGCTGAGACGCGTAATGTGTCATCGTACGTTAACATTCTCTGTTGGTAACATAAAAATGAAAGACTTAAAAAAACCATAAACCGTAATTATGAATGTCTTTGAAAGCTGTTCAACTTACACTAAGCAGATCGATACCAAGAGAATTCAAAGTGGGAACGTATTTAATAAGAGGCTTTGGTTTCCATTTTGGGAAGACTGGCGTGTAGTCTCTAAATTGCGATATACCAGGCCAAACGCTCTCATCCGGAGTTCCGAGAGCCCTAACATCGATTAGCAAATGATAAATTTGAGCGTTTACACTAAAAGGAAGACGAAAAAAAAAAAGCTTACTGGAAAATCAAGAAAAGTTCATCAATTTCGCTTTCACCTATTAACAACAACAAAATGTAAATTACAAATAATGTTAAGACATATTTAACAAACGGATTATTCAAATTTTACCCTTGAACAAAACTTCTCTATTAACAATTTCAGCAAAGATACACCCGATACTCCAAATGTCAACGGCAAAAGTATATGTTGGGCTACCAAGCATAAGTTCAGGGGCTTTATACCATAGAGTGATTACCTAAAAACAAAACATATTAAAAAGAATCTAGAACATCAAATTAAGTAAAAATTTTTGTGACAATCATACCCCATGTGTGTAAGGCTTCAGAGGAATGCCAACGGCTCTCGCTAATCCAAAATCAGCTAATTTAAGATTTTCATCTTTATCAATTAATAGATTTTGTGGTTTTAAATCTCTGTGAAAAATTCGCCGTCTATGTAAAAATGTAGTTCCGTCAAGAAGTTGGTACATGAGTTTCTGTTTATTTAATTTTAAGAAAACGAATTTAATTCATCCAGAAGGCACCTACGCAAAATAGCCTTAAACACGAACGAAAGAATCACAAAAATACCTGAATTTTACTTGATGCTAGTCCCTCTTTAAATCCATGAATATATCTTTTCAAATCCATTGTAAGAAACTCAAAAACAAGAAACAATTTCTTCTCTTGATTTATGATATCAAGGAGTCTATTCAGATAATATAAAAATATATTTAGGCATGTTGCAATTTTACACGTTTCTATATTCCTACTATACTTGCAGACAAAATTCCAAACTCAAAAAAAAACAATTGAAATTATAAAATCAAACAATTATTAATAAAATTTAGCTTGACTAAAGTCCGAGACTTGAATGCACACGAGATATTGTAGTAGTTTGGATTTCGGCTGCAGTATAATTTCCAACATACTTTACAATATTTTCATTTTTTGAGCATTCTTTAAGCAATGAAATTTCTCGAAGCGAAGTAGGTGGAATCCCTTCTTGGTCACCAACGGGTAAATCTAGACGCACTTGCTTGAGAGCTACGATTCTTCCGGTTTTTTTGTCTTTAGCCCTATAAACTACGCCGTATGTTCCTTTTTTTTTGAAAAAAAATTGTCGATTAATATTAATAGAATTCGTAATGATTATAATATTATTTAATACCTTCTCCAACTTTTTCTAATTTTTCAAAATCGTCCATCTCCATCTTTAGATAAAATGCCGGCTACTGTAAAAATGCCAAGTGCGATGTTTTGATTTAAAAATAAATCGCGGCTTACGTCATAAACAAGTAGTAAAAAATTTTGCTTTTGTGTAACCCGATCTTCCGAACCTAATTAATTTTGCCCGAAATCACTAATTTACCGGTATAGTGCTTGTAGTCGATTTTGCATTAGCCGATAAAATCGGCCGATTTTTCGAAAGATTTGAGGAAATCTTCGAAGTTTAATCAAATAGAATTTAGAATAATCAACTTTGACTTAGCCGGTTAAGCCGATTTTTAAATATCAACTTAGTCAAGTTGATAAATAATAGTTTGTTTTTTTTTTTTTTTTTTTTTAACATTCGGCAGTCATGTCTTAGCTTTGTACAATTCCTCTAGAATATGTAAAATTTTACAACTAGGCATTTTAGAAGGTAAGTGATAAACTCTAAACT